CAAGTTAGAAAAACATAATATGGTGGAAGAGACGTGCAAAAATGGTCATCGGAAGGAAAGGAGGCTTCTCGTTTTTTTCACATTTGCTTAAAAAGTTGAAGGTAGAATCCAGAGGTTAATGGGGTAGACTCTTAAATTAGATGCCAGCAAGGTGAAAATTATAGATCTCAGTAATTTCACAATCTGAAATTTACATTTTTTTCTGTACAAACAATAGGATGAAATATAATTTTAAAGCGTGGAAACCCTGCCCCCATGATAGCATCAAACTTGGGAAAAGGACATTAAAAGTGCTTCGGGCTGTAGGATTTCAAGAGTATTAGACTCAATTACATATGAGAGCGATATCTTTTGACATTATAGTGAAGCTAGATCCCTGTATGCTGTGATTAGTTATCATGAGGTCTGGTGGTCCTTCTTGCAATGTCCACTGCTAAGAATTAAATCCTTAGCCCCTTGTGGTTCAAAGTCCACTTCAGGGACTGGGGTTATTTATATTGAAAACTAAATTATTTTCTGTACTTTTGCTTTTTCCATAAGAAAACTAAAGATTATACCTTCACAACAAGAATTGTGAAAAGAAACACAGTATAATAGGTAAAGAACACATTTGCTGTTTTTATTGGTGCCTTGCATGGCAGTAATACTGAAAAAAGAGAATGCAAAAACAAAAAAACAAAAAACAACAAAAAAAACCAGGTTGGTGGCAACCCACATCTTTTTTTTTAAGAGTACATAAACTCCTGTTTTATTTTTATTGTGGCATGAATGGTAACATAAAACCAAAAACATGAAAATATACAACTTATATTACACTATGTGTTATGAACAAAATATAAATCTATAACTCTATGTTATATTTACATAATTATTTATTTTATTAAATTTCAAGTGAGATGGTAGGTTGCACATACTTTGTTTTAAGCTCCAGGCATTTGATTGTCTCTTTTCTACTTTTTTCCCATTTTTACTTGTAAAATCCAAAATGTTAGAAGGACTAAGAGCTTTAGAGCCAGTGGAGCTGTATAAATACTGTTTTAGTGAACCAGTGACAGAAACACTGGGAAGGACAGGAATCAATCAGTAGAAAACTTAACACAACATCATCTTCAACTTGGGAAACTGAAAGGTATACGAAACTTTAAAATTAAATACTGTAAAAGCCTGTCTAAACAAAAACTTATGCCCTAGAAGAGATATCTGAACCACTTTAAGTGGGCTTCATAATTTTCCTTGCAGACCTCATAATTTTTATTTTACTATTAACTTGATAGACAAATAGTTTATAAACCTGTTTGTAAATATACAGTTGTTTATTACAATTCAATAATTTACCCATTAGAATGAATGAAAATTATTTTTTGAAGTTTTAAATGTGATAAAAGAGATTTTCTCTGGGAACAGTAACTACTTCTGGATTAAGAAAATATCTGAAATTGGGACCACAAAATAGTTAAAGATAATTGTCTTTAAATGAATTAAGGTAAAAGTCTACTCCAAAATCAAATCTATGAAATAATTTCATCATCAAAGAAAACTCTCTTATATTCATTCCTTATGAGAGGATTTGGTTTCAATAATAATTATGTTCTTTGGGAGGGATTTTATACATGGTTAACTTTTAAATGCAGATGCCAAATAAATGTTACAAATTGACTTAACTAATTTAGGTATAAATGTACTGAAGAACAGTTTTGTCTTTTATCCAATTGCAGTAACCAGCCAAATTATTAGTAATTTGTAAATGAGCAACTTTAACCTTTTTTCTCCAGTGATGTTCTCTTAGATTCATATTAAAACATGGCTATTTTGGGAGGAATTTATTATAATAGCAATAAAATGAGACTTCAGGCAAGATTATTCCTCAGTACTGGGATGAGTGTGTGCCTGTGTGCGTGTATGTGTGTGTATGTTTGCGTGCACGTGAGAGAGAGAAAGGGAGAAAGAGAAAGAATGGAGCGGGGATTTGTGAATGAGAGGTAGGAAAGGATAGAGGAGGGAAATGTAATCTTCATTTCAGACTGATCTTACTCTGATTTCCTCTACCTTCGCTTTTTTGATCATCATGGGGCACAGAGAAAGAATACAAAGTTTTAGGATCCTTTACAAAAATGATAAACCAATCAAATGCCAAAAAGGCAACGTGTTAACACAATAAGTTGCTATTCATAGCACCTTTTATCAAATGACTTGAAAGCACTTCAAACGTCAATATAATTTTTGTTTGTCTGTTTTCTTTTGGGGAAAACTAAGGCAAAGAAATTACGATACCCAGTGAATTCTATGTCAGGACACAAGAGAACAGAACTCGGGGCTCTGGACTTCCCGTTTCCGTCCATGCACGGTGCAGCCTCTCTGACATCAACCTAACTAAATAAAATTAACTTCTGAATTTCAGCAGTTAAAGGTCACCATTAACAATTTCGTTTTCCCCTTCAAATAAAACAAAATAAAGAACAAACAAAAAAAGACCAGACAGAAGTGTTTTGTCAATTCACTGCTAAGTGCATTAGAATTGGTTTCAGCCCTGATTGCCCTCAGTGGCCTCTACCTGGAGCTAAAACAAAGTATTCTTGTAGCCCAAAGTCATGAAATGAAAACAAAGCATCTTTATAATGTGGTGTAAAATAAGTATCCAGCAAACGTGAGAGGTGAACCCACATAAGTCAGAAAGAATTTGTTAACAAAGACGAAGAACAAATTTTTAAAAATCTGTTTTCACATTGTACATAATAACAATATAAAACGAGTGTCTATTTTTTTTCCTTATCCAGAGTGCTTAAAAACAACAAACAAAAACAAAAAAAAAAATTGGCTCTAGATGACTGTGGCAATTAAATAACTAAATGAGTGATGAGAGCATAAGTTAATTAAGATTGAACACGACCCTCCTATTCACTCCTTTGTATGAAACACCAGAACTTGACATTGTTGGGGCCAAATTTTTAAAAAGGAGAAAACTTACTGAAGGAGAAGTAAAATTGTGTGGGTGAACGTGTGTGTGTGTGTGTGTGTGTGTGTGTATGTATAAATATATATATATATATGAGTTGGAAGATGGAAATTTGTTTTAAATATCTAACAGCTTATTGGCTGCACTTCCAAATCAGAGGAGAATAAAATAGAGAGGGAGAAATAAATTATACATAACTTACTAATCTGGGAACAGCTGACCATTATTATTATTATTACTATTATTATTATTATTATTATTTTATCATCATCATCATTACAACACTAGCAAAAAGAGGCAGTTCAAATGAAAATACAGTCATCAAAAACAAACAGAAAAACAAAACAAAATCTCTGACATGCAGGGTATGATCAGCTCCTCCAAGCAAAACCCCAGAGCAAGTCTTTTGAGAGAGAGAAAAATAAAAAGGATTTGTTTTTCTTATTTATGTGTAAAAATCAAACTTTTGGGTCAGGTTTGAGGGGTGGGATAGGAAAATGAGGACTGGAGTGAAAACCATAGCACATCCAAGCTCCCAGCTGGAGTATTGAACTGTCTGATGCTTCAGCACAAATAATGGCAATGGACTGGAAGTGATTTTACATTTATTTGTACAAGCCCTGTAATCCCTAGGCAGTTCTGTCACCATCAGTTGTTGCTCTATGCACATACTCGGCTGGAACCAAAAACTGGACTTCCATGGATTCGTCTTATGGCGAGGGAAAGTGGTGGCGAGGATCACTGGGTTCAGCCAGGCTCTGTTTCTGTCAGGCTGCTATGACTTTTAATCAAATCCTGGTTTTTATGGGATGGGATGCACATGGCCCACAATTGTGAAATGGCCTCCGCCTCATTTCATGGAGAGATGAAAAATACCTTACAAAATCATCAGTTCCATTTCCTGATCAGGAAAGGATGGAATGTTGAAGAAATAAGCTAATTCTGTGTTTCTGGAAAACGGCCAAATACAGTCAAGGAAAACAAGAATTGCTTTGCTCAGTGTTATCAATAGGAAAAACAAACAGAAATCATTAAGTTGGAAACATTAGTGGAACCAACTGACCAGGAAGAAGGGACATCTGGGAACAGTTTGCTAGTAGCTTCCATGTTATACATGCACACCTCGATTACACAGGGCCACCTGATCCATCCAATAATAATCGTATTAGAAATTTAAAAATATAATTTCTGAGCCCTATCTTGGTTGTCATTTGAAGTGCAAAGTCAAGGTCAAGGTTGCTTCCAGACCAGTCACTTAGGAGGATGTGGGATTTCATCCCCAGATGTGGGTTTAACTCACAATGGTTCAATGTTATTCCTATTAGTACCATAATCACACACATACATACACACAAAAATCCAAGATCAGAAAATATTTTTTTTCTCTAAATTTCTTATGTCTCTCTCTCTCTCTCTCTCTTTTCACCTGAGAACAGCACCTACAGTTTCCATTTAAGAAAAAAAAAAGTCAAATCTCACCAGCTGCTGGTATTTCAGGTTTTTCAAGGGATTGTCTAAGATATAACACTGTCCTAACTTAAGAAGGAACAGGAAAAAGGAAAGGAAAAAAAAAGGAACTGGGTCAACACTTCAGTACAAATTTGGCACTTGCTCAAAGATGTAGTGTGGTGTGCAATAGATAAAGAAAGTCCTCTAAAGAAAATAATTGCTTATTTTGTGGTGGATAGCAAGGAAGTTAAAAACAGGCTCTTTTTCCCTCTTCCCTCCCATGCACAGACTTCCATCTTTAAAGTATAGAGATGGAGAAGGTGGAGAGAAGTAAAGAGAAATTCATCTTTCTTTTTTTTCTGTCAGGTGCATTACAAAAAAAAAAAAAAAAAAAAAGGAAAAGAAAGAAAAAGAAAAGGAAAAAACCCAGAAACCCCAAAAAACAAAACAAAACTTATTTTTTTAAAAATTGTAGCACAAAACAACAAAACACATTCACAAGCCACTTGTTGGCACTGTGTACCTGAGTGAGAATTTCTAGAACATTGTAGAACAAACAGCCATAAAGTTTATTAAAAAAAAAAAAGTTGACGGGTAAGACTTCAGTGCTTGGATGTAGCAGCTGAATTACTGGCATTATTTTACCCATAGCTTATTTCAATCTCTTGTTGTTGATATTGTTGTTTGCTTGTATTTTTTTTTTTTTCCTTTCCAAGCCTTTTGAGGCTGAGGTCTATTAGTCAGCTGATGTCCCAACTATTTAAGACTAACAGTTAAAGTAACAGTCAGTGTATGAGAAAGTTAATGTGCTTGGCCACTGGTAAGGATGAACCAGCTAGGGCTTCTTTAAGTCCTAAGGTCACAACAATCTTTTGACCCTTATCAGTTGGCTTGTCCTGCAATATGGTTTTCACTGTCACTCCCATAATCTACATCCGGGTCATCCTCTTCCTCATCGAACTCATCATAAATTTCTCCGTTGATGTCCTCGGCCTGTATCTCTTCTTTGATATGTGGCTCCTCTCCTTTCACGCCGTAAGTGCTCTGGATAACAGGCATCCCGGGCTCTGGGCTGCTGGACACGCTTGAGTGCTCTGAGGGCAGGTGAGGGGAGGGCATTCCCGCCATGGCGATGGCTCCAGGGTACACAACACCAGCGGTGGCGATGGGGATCTGTGCTTGTTGCCTGCAGAAAGGAAGTCCCAAAAAAAGACTGTGGGTGAGGGGATACTCAGAGGCACACTTTATAACGAATCTGCTCAGCTTGCCCAATTCTAAAACCGTGATTCTCATCCTATTGCCCAACATTCAAAAAACCGCATCCTCCTGTGATGTCAATACCTTACCTCTGTCTACAGCTTGGCAGATCGCAAGGCACTTACATGTGTTACCTATTTGACTCTTAAAATAACTGTTTTTATTACTATCTTATTTTATAAAAAAACAAAACAAAACAAAACCTGAGGTGCAGAAAGATTAAGCAGCAGAACTTGACCCCAAGTTCATGTCCCTTCACTACAACAGTGTTTTCAGAAATAATTAAGCTACAGATAATGCAATTTTAATGGGGAAAAAAAACCCTAAAATATTAGAGTTCTCAAAATAAAACGTTATTGCTCAGAACTCACCGGAACTGAACAGTAACTTATTGCCCACCTGGTCCCTGTAATAGTTGGGGGGATGGGAAGCAGGGCATACAGCTCTGCAGCCGCGCAAGGCCCTGGGCTTAGAAAGACCTTATGCTTGGGTTAAAGAATTTTAAGACTGCAGCAGCAGAACTTAACTCTTTAACAGAAACCCCACATTTTCATTTTGCACTGGGCTCCACAAATTATGTAGCTGGTCCTACTGGGAAGGGATTAATGATGTTCATTTAGGCTCCATTCATTCATTCGTTCGTTTGTTCATTCATATGTCTACTATTTCATCCGTGTCGGGTTTTGTACTCAGCTTTGAGGAGAGTCATGCATTGGCATATAAAGCAAAGAGCCCACAGACTCTTTCCAGGCAGGAAGATAGGGAGGGCAGACTTAAAAAAAAAAAAAAAAATTTTTTTTTTTTTAAGTATCCTCTGGCCATTTTCAGAGCAGTATTTATTATTCTAAGAAGCCCTTGGGATCTTAATAACTTCTGTTCCAAATAGGAGCTACCTCCTTTCCCTGCTTTCTGAGAAAATTCTGCAGAAGCAATGAAGTTGCCGGCAGCATCACAGGACACCGCACCCAGCCTCGCCAGAGGAAGCAGGTAAGACCTCCTCCTGGGAGCTCCATTCTTGATTCAGAAGTGAGCTTTCCCGTTCACAACTGTGTCGTGCCCTAAATAGAATCTCCACTTTGCCTGATCTACAAAGGCCACACGTGTGCCTTGACAGCCCAGAAACCCCTCTACATTCCAAAGCAAGTGTTTCTTTTGAAACCATTTTTATGATGTATTCTCTCCAACAAGAATGGTGTCGAACTTGTCCCTGTGACGCCTTGGAAGTAATGAACGCCAATGAGGCGAGGAACTGATGATGCTTCCCAGTTTTTAACAAGGCACTTCAAAAGGCTTACTTCCAGATAGTTTATCCTCAAGCCGGTTGTTAGGAAAGCTCCTGGGAGAGCCAAGGTCCTAGGCCCTTGGAGTCCCTCCATATGGAGGTACAGGTGGGGGGACAGTCTAGTCCCCGAAAATACACGGAGTTCAGGCTCTTTTTCAGAAGGCTGCCTCGCAGCAGAATAAGAATGTCTCACACCCCATTAAGTGGAACAAGGAGCGCTCCCCGTGCAGACGCGACCGCGAGGCCCGTACCCGACATTGAAGTACTGCCGCATCTCCTGCCGCCTGTTCCGCATGATCGCCTTGTACTCGCCGATGCGTAGCTTCTTGCCGTCCACGAGGCAGGTGCGCTTGGGCCGCGGCTTGTATTTGTAGTCGGGGTACTTCTCCAGGTGCTGCTTGCTGAGACGGGCTTGTTCCTCGTAATATGGCTGTTTCTCTAGGTTCGTCATAGCTTTCCAGCGAGATCCTGTGAGGAAAAGAAGGTTAGGATTCCAACTGGCGCAGCTGTGGAGGTTCCTAAAAAGATAGCCCTGAGAACAAGGAAATCTACAGTAAAAATGCGGGCCCAAACTCAGAAACACATAAAAATGTGTTTGATTAGCAAAGGGTGACTCATGAGGTGAGATCCCACAGGACAGAGGTGTTGCTGGCTGTGTCCTTAAGGAAACTGTGTACCCAAAGATACAAAGGTGGGACGATCCTTTTTTTTTTTTTTTTTCCTGGCTGGAATTAACAACTGAGCCAACCATGTACATTATATATTTAAAAGCTCACAGATAATTTAAAGAATATACCTTTTGTTTCCACATTGGACCATGATATAATTCAACTGTGAATTGAAAATTTATGCAAAAACTTATTATACATTTTCAATCTGTGGCTAGTTATCTAGGTGCTGAGCATTTTTAGGTGGGGGATACGTTACTTACTACAAGGGTTTCTCACATATGCTACATATAATTCTCCTCAAAATTTGTAAGTATGCTTTCATGAATGATTGCATTTAAAAATTCATTTCACTAAAACTTTACAAAAAATTATATTAATGAACATGCACTGGGTAACTACTGTGTGCTAGATACTGTGCTAAAAACTTCACACAAGTTGTCCATTTTTACCTTTCACTGGGATCCTGTAAGGTAGTATTAGCATTTTTACCTATTTCCATAGATGAGAAAATTAAAATTCAAATAGATGAAGTAACTTATCGAAGGTCACAAAAGTATTAAATTGCAAACCTGTGACTCAAACTCAGGTTGGATGTAATTGAACCTGAACATGCTACAATATATGTTTTTAGATACCTATACCCACCTGCTATGATCTAGCAGAGGTTAGAACTGTCAGAATAAATATGTATGGGGTAAGATTTTTCTCTTAATAAATCAACTTTCAATAATATAAAGAGATGTCATTTCTTGAAGAATCGTATGCATTAATAATATTAATCCAATTGGTAATCCAAATTGGTTTTCCCCTTCTTTTCACTTTTGATTTTGGTTTGGCTTCAACTAGGATCACACACACACACACAGCATGCAGCTTAATTAAAAATAGTTATGCTAATTCTCAATATAAATGTGATTTAAAGCTTTGGTTCTATTACTGTGGCTGTGTGTAGTAGTAAAATAAGTAGTGGTAATAATGTTTACTTTTTATTAAGCATGTGAGGAGATTCTATTTGCAGATGAAGTGTGTTTATCAGCAAGTAATCAGCTCAACTTTACCCAAATGTACAAAGACCAAAATAACCAGAATTGGGAGTTCCCTATTAAATAGGTTCTGGTACAGAAGCTTTACCTGCCCTGCAAGGTCATCAAAGCAAGATCTTAAGGCTTTTGAATGAATTCCTTACTCAACCACAATTCCGTATCTCAAATGCAAATAGCTCACTGATGAACAGTTCTTCCCTACAAATGCAGACAATTCCTCAATATGGGCTGTTACATGTATTAAAGGAATACAGTAACAGGGACGATACTCTTCCCTTAGAATTCTTTCCTATTGGAACAGATGTTGCCTGAGTGGGTCTATCCACATAAGTGTTACAAAAATTTATAAACATATTTTTTTCCCAATCTAGACAGTCAATATGATTTTATTCTATTTACTACAGAAATCCAGGTTATAGCTCAAAAAATAGAGGTTTTTTTTTATTCCTTTCTGAAACTTGTCTTTAAATAGCCATGTCTAATAATTTGTAGGTATGATCTCAAACGCTATATTGCCCAACAATATTCTCTAGAGGTACTGGAAACTGTTACGTTATTCTCAGGGCAAATATAAACACAGATAAAACTATAATACTATTGAACTAGATCAATTCTTTTTGGGAAGTTTCTTCCAAGTATGTATAACAGGGCTCTAAACTTCAGATCAGGGAGTGCAAAAGTGAGCATACCAGAAATAATTTACTTAAGAATTACATAAATACATTGAAAAACGGACCTATGATTGTTGACTTTAAAATTCCGTATCTTTATCACTAGAGAGAACAAAGAAACTAGCATTCTCAATTAGAAGAGGAATTGCTAAGTGTTCTTCTCTAAGTCTGAATGTTCTATAAGCTTGAAAAGCATGTATTTCTCTAAGGAAAAGGAATGTTTATGCTTCATAGTAACCTGCCTCAGAATGTAATAACCCTTTTTAGACTTCCTACTATGTGCATCCTACTGTATTAATTACTGAATATGCAGTGATGAATCATTATGTTCCTTATCTTCTTGAGGCTCATATTCCAGTGGAGAAGAAATCTATTAAGCAATTTATTATTTTAATTACAATTGTGGAATGTACAGGAAGCTATGTGACCATGATAAAGAGTTGGGATCAATCTTTTGTAGGTCAGGAAGGCTTTGCTGTGGAAATGACTCCTATAGGAATCAGAAAGGGAGGAAGGAGGAAGAACAGAATGGTCAAGTGGGAAGAGGAATTGAGGAACTTAAAGTCGATCTAGCTGAAATGCAGAGGGGAAGGTGATATATATACTCATATAGACATTATATGATAAATGAAAGATACATTAACATAAAGATGACATACACAATAAAAGAGTGTAAATTCTCTGACAAGTTGACTTCTAAATCCGCATGAACGGGAATCACAGAATGTTTAGATACTTGATAATACAATTTCCTTGGAAATATCATTGAATCCTAAATTACATTTTAAAAGATGGCCATATCATAGTTATAAGTCTTTTTAAAGAATTAAGGTAGCCTAAGCACTGCGTGTACTTGGCAAAATGGCTAACTATTCCGTTTTATGACAGCGGAGGCAGTGTTTTGGTTTGGTGGCAAATACAGTTTTCATTTTTCAATAATAACTGTTGAATAGAGAAAAATAAATAACAAGTTTGGTTTGGGTTTTAATGGCTTTGCAGGTACAGCATCCACTGTATATAGCTACGATGTGAACCCTGAGACGCACTACACGAGCAATTTAGGTCTCTCAGGAGAAGACGAAAACATCTACCTGATCTGGGTGGGGCTGGTTGCTTACCCTGGACCACGTGCAGGGAGTATGTTCCCTGCATTTTTCAAAAGACTGGGCTTTTACAATGGAAAATGCAGAAGGACATTTGGGTATTCCCCCTGATAACAAAGAGGATGATTAAATTTAAAAATCTGATGTTCAAAATAAGAAAGAAAAAAAAAAAAAAGAAAAGAAAAGAAAGCACCACCAGTCTTGAGAGTCCTCTTTTCCTTTCTAAATCTGCCAATACAATAAAAATGAAGAGTTTGAGCTGAGCAGCATTGTCATCTCCATGGGGTCTGTAATGAATTTGCACATTTTACTCCAACTACTGTATATCTAATCAGAAAAAGATGTCCCCCATCCCCTGATCTAGCGCCAAACAGTAAAAGGTGATTCCTTATGTTAACAATTTCAGCAGAATGGCTTATTAAAACCAGATTTTAGGGTATTATAAAATGCTTAGAAGCCCTTTAAAATGTCAACTAGGATCCCCAGAGACTATGTAAAATGTCAACCCAGCTCAAGCGCCTGTTTTAAGCAGAATGAATTAGCGGCATGCTGTTGGAGGCTGTTATCCAAAACAATCAGTAAAGAGGAAAACATCAAGCTCTCTTTGTACTTTTATATGAAATGGGCCAGTTCGAATGATCTTCTGGATATCTGAAGATCACTTATTTATTTGAAGCTATGACCAAATATTGAGGTCCCAAACACCTCAGTGTTTTTTTTTTCTTCCTGCTATATCTTTAATGAACACAATTCTCTTAAAAAGTCTAAAATCAGACAGCACTCTTTTTCATGTCACCCATTATGATATAATCATATGGTCATTCTAATATTCTTTCCTTCAAACCAGAAAAAAAATGCTTGTAGCTGGTCATGTCTTCCCATAAAATCTTATGCTGCATTTCCTAAAGTACTTCACATTATCAAAACTGATATTTCTCTTACACTTAGGATAAAGTTTTAATCAGTGACTCATTTTTCCAGTATTCAGACACAGGAATTGAATGATATAGACAGTTTAAACAATCCATATTTAGTCTGTTTTTTCAAATTTTAATACTTTGGGATTTCTAATTTTGCGATAACTGATACATTAGGATATGGAATATGTTTACATAAAGTATTTTATTCCTTTCTAGAGTTTTTCCAAATGGAACAGGTATGATATCTATTTAAAAATTGGGACACTTTGGGGCACCTGGGTGGCTCAGTGGGTTAAAGCCTCTGCCTTTGGCTCAGGTCATGATCCCAGGGTCCTGGGATCGAGCCCCGCAACAGGCTCTTTGCTCAGCAGGGAGCCTGGTTCCCCCACCTCTCTCTCTTCCTGCCTCTCTGCCTACTTGTGATCTCTGTCTGTCAAATAAATAAAATCTTTGAAAAAAAAAAAATGGAAAAGTTCATATGGAAGGTAAAATTTGGTCATAAAAAAGGAAAAACAGATCAGAGATGGTAGAGATGTAAAAAATGTGCCTTTCCTTTATCCATAAATATTCACATTTTCTAAGCTTCACATACTGTTATCTTTTGACATAACATTCATTTAAAGATCTCAAAATCATTTTAGATGAAAACTGAAACATAAGTTCAAGTGGTTAATGGTTTCTGTTTTGTTGCGTTACTTATTTGTTGAAGCCCAAATTCAGTTAGGTGTTCCTATTCTTTTCTTGTTCTTTAGCTCTTAGAAGTCAGGGAATAAATAATCTAAAATGTGCTTAGATTATCTAGTAGCTAGCCACCACACTCTCTGAAGATGAAGAAGGTGGTGATGATGTCAAGTGAACAGCGCAAAAGAAATGGAATCTTCCCTTCCTTTTTCTGGGACTTCAACTGGTCTATAGTTGGTCTCTTTATAATCATTACCTTACCTCTCACCATCCCTTCTGCATGCTTTCAGCGTCTGTGTACATAAGGCAAATATGTACTGTATCTGTTAAGCTGAAAGCTGCAATAGCAGGAAAAATCCCTTTTTAAAAGATGCTGAAAATCTGCTGAAGGCTACAAAAAGTATAAATTAAAAATTGCACCACACGCCTCATCTTCTTGTGTCCTGACAGTATTAACTGGTTTTCAGTTATAGTACCGGAACAAACCTCACCTATATGTATTCTCCAGCCCTACCACATGAAGAATTCTGTAGCTCAAAGGGAAAGAACAAATACAGTCAACCTCATTGTCAAGTGGCTCAGAGGAAAGGAACTTTTTTCTTAGTCTTGCTACAAAATATCTCTAGATCTTAAAGAAGAGAAAATACTGCAACAATTAGTATGGAGACACAGGACTAAGCAAGCTATAAAAACTAAGCACCTTTCTCCACGGACATGAAATGCTTCGTCATCAGAAGGAAAGCCTCAATTAATGGTGCTTATTTAGATAAACAGATCACCCCCGCCTCCAAAGCCAGTACTTCTCAACAACTGCAGGAAACAGAGCTGTACATTTATTCCATGCGTCTCATAACCATTAATACGTTTCTTACCCAATATCTTGCTGATGTTGGAGTTGTGCATGTCGGGAAAGGCTTGAAGGATTTTCCTTCGTTCATCTTTAGCCCACACCATGAAGGCGTTCATTGGACGTTTTATGTGGGGTTCATTGCTACCACGGCCTCTGGATTCTCTGTAAATTCTTGATTCTGAGACTCCAGCACTTCCTAAAAATAGGGAACATTGCTTCACGTGAGTGTTAAGACTTTTGGTAATTCTATTCTTTCTATGGCTACTGAATATTTGTCTAGTGAAATATCTATTTTAGTCTATCGAAATATGAATATAAAAAATACATCTGATAATAGTACTTCCAGTTCTTGAGACAGATGCTTGTTCATGAAGTCTTTGTGATAAGCCCTGTGGTGGCAATCATCGTATCTACATTTTTAATCCATTTCTAATATGTTTTTTTCCTTTTTTTTGGATGGACTATGGACTATTTCACCATTTTCTTTCAAGGGGACACAAGAAATTTGAATGTGTTAGCTTTGATGCAAATTGGAAAGAGAATAGTTGGGGCATACCAATAGGCATGCTGGTACCATGGAAATATTAAACAGTTAGAGAAGCTCACAAAATTGCGAAACACTGTTCTCTTTGGCACAATGGATGACCGCCAGTGAGGATATGTCTCTGCTACCTAAAGATGGTCAGAACACACAGTAGCTATGCCCTTTTCCCCTTTTTGAAGTAATCTAAATAAAAATGCAGCTAAGTAAAAATTTGAAGTTAAAATACAATATGGAAATTCTTCCGTAATGTGTTTGGCTTTTCCTTGCAATTTTGTGCTAATAAATACATGAACTATGCTGATGCACTAATGACGGCCTGATCCCCAGAAGAGCTCTGAATTGTAGGGGGAAAATAAACAAACAGTTATACTACTATGGTTTCTTTAAAAGTCCACAGCCACTATTTAAGGTGAAACAAATAATATAATTATTCCCCTGAATTTTCTCCCTCATGTCTAAGTTACCCAAAGAGACCCACTGAAAGTTCCTTTCCAGTCAGCAGGACTCATGGTGATAAAAACATAACCAAGAGCCACAGTAGAACCCTTGGAAGCTGCCATCACTCCTCTAGGCTTCATGTGACTTTGTAGAGTAATTTCACCGGATTAAACAGCTTCTGAGATACTCAGGTTTAGGCAAAGAAAATCAGGAGAGGCAGAAGTATCCACACAATGGTGATACCAAGTTTTCTAGGGTTATCGTTAGAAAACATGGAAGAGATGTATTTTGGTAACATATAAAATTTTTAAATAATTTGGGCAATTCTAGAGCTTGTATCTTTAATAAAAACATTTTTTTCTTTCTTCATACTCCTCTTCCTCTCTTTTCTCAATTAGAAGGAATACTAATCAACCAAAATTACCCAGACTTGAAGACCTCTAGAGCAGCCAACAAAAACACAGCATACCTGGTGGCGGAGTTTCTCATTATTTCTTACTCATACTATGATCTTTAGTCTGATGAAGATTAGAAAATATTTTGCATACAAGCATGACTGAATTTAACAAATAACAGCCACAAAATTGTGATGTTTTAATGCTGATTACTATGGGCATATTTTATCATGCTAATACAACTTAAAACTTATGAAATGTGTTATTACCAGTAATTGTCTTTTTATTGACAAAAATCAGTGCTAATACATGGCAACATCTTTCTGAAATGGGTTTGTAACTAGCAAATGATCATTTGCACATCTGCTTTTTCTTGTTCTTACACCTTACAACAACATAAGCAATAAAATGAACATTATGCAACTTCATCAAAGCTAAATAAGCTCTTTATATGTACTTAGGCCACATTTATCTTAGCCAAGGGAGGTAGAAAAGAGAAGGAAATGTTTGGCTCCAATAGGCCAGGAAAACACTGACTTTGGTTGGATAGCCAACAGAATAAAATTCAGTTTTGATAATATTATCTGGCTACACCCTCAAGTTTGGCTAGTCTCAAGGCTAGTGTAGAACTGCACTTAAAAGTAGAATTGGGCCAAGGCACCGAGTAGACAGTTGTATATATAGGGGAACTCAAGGCCATCTCCTCTGTCCTAAAGTATGCTTCCTAATGGTCTGCTTCAGTGTGGTCTTATCTATATGCAGCAGACTTTCTCTACCATAGTAACAAATTTGAGGACTGTGCTCTCAAAATGCATATATGGCACCTGACACTGGAGGGACATTCCCAGCTATGGCTCAGGATAAGGGGAATAGTACTTTCTTCTTTATCTCTCTTTGCTGTGCTACTAAAATTAGCGTGTCAGTTTAGCTAGTTGTCACTGGGGATGTTTAGAATGTTCAGAGATGATGCAGACAACAGAAGTCTCCAGGCATGTGAAGAAAGCATGAGATTGTGCAGCTGGTGTTCCAGCTGGGTTATAAAGGGGAGGGAGGACACCTGACTGACTAATAAACAGTATAAGAGTGAAGGGTTCCAAAATGCAAATATACAGACACACACACATATGTGTGTGTCTCCTGAAAATATCCACTTAGTCTTGTATTCTGGTCCGAGTTTGACAAATGAAAACTGGAAAATGAGCTTACAGACACAAGTTTCTGAACAGTTTGCTTTGGGTACAAGAAATAGGGAAGTGAGAGATAAGTTTGGCAGTGACTGGGAGTATTTGCTTCAGAATCATGCCATCTTGAATCCAAGACCTGCCTCTGGTACTCAATAGCACTGTTATCTTGGAGAAAAATGGCTCAAAATTCCCAGGGGCCCAGCTCTTTATTTGTAACAGTATTTCTCTCATAGGATGTGCTAGAGATGAATGAGAGGATTTATGCAAAGCCCTCAGCAGATTACTTGGCACATGGGAACTGCTCAGTACATGTGAGCTATCCTTGTAACCACCAGGTATAATGTGGCTGTCTTACATACTTTTTAGTCATTTTAACTGGGACAAATAGACACGTCTGCACATTATCGGAATAGACATGAACAATTTTCACAAACCATCAGAATCTCCACTCATATTGAAATCCATCATGGCATGGCTAAATTTTCCTTCTTCGTTCTGTTTAACTGCCAGTTGCTGAGTCAGACTCTCCAGTGTTGTTTTTTCCTTAAAAAAAGAAATTTATAATGAGAGCTCAATCTGGAAATTGTAATTATTCAAAGACATCTTTTATTTTTCTTGAGCCATATATAATACATTAGCTTCTGGGAGGGACAGAACGCTGATTTATTCACCTTTGCACATTCAGTACCATAATTATGTCGAGCTAACTGAAGCAAATGTTCAGCAGGGTTTTTGAAGGAACTCTGATTCTTAGAATCCCCTATAAAGCCTTGGCATTTGGGTTTGGTGTGCCTCAGGGGTATGTGCCGGGATCCTTGGAGACAATCTTCCCGAGTCATAAAACGTGCAAAGACATTTCATGAAAGCAACCTGTCTTACAACATTTGGAATGCCTTTACTTTTAGCCAGACAGTAGAAGTACAGGAGTGGCATGGGGCCCAGAGAAAGTCTTCCAATAGTCAGGTGACCAACTGATAGAAACATAATTCACAGTAGTGCCCTCTGGTTGCCATCTCCCTAAATGCCATCTGCATTCCTCATGCAAGGGTAATGAAGACGTTTAAATATTCATTGCTAATTGCTTGTCAAGTCTCTGTACATTCGATGTGAGTGCCTGCTACTTGGACCACAATTTGACTTGGATTGCTAAGCCAAAATATTGAGTTGGCGAATTATTTGAGATACAAATACACCAAAATTAGATCTGCAAAGACATCAAGTCATTTAAAAGCATGCAGTGCATGATTTGAATTCACGGAGAACATGGCATTATAAACTAAATTATTTTCAAAGAAAACATAATGCTCAATCTAAACCACATGAGATATTAAACAACTTTCAATTAAGTAATTGGGTGATTTTACGAAAAGAAAAATCATATGATGGAAGGTTTACAACTTTTTCTAGCACTTTCCATCACTGCTCTGAGGATGACTTGGTTCAAAAACAGTATTAAGAAAAGAATCTACTAGATTTCATAAAATTTGCTCAGTTTTTTTTTATAATTAATTACCTCATTTTCTGAGGAACGCCATCATGAAATGTACAGATGACTCACATATATGGTGAGATAGCTACTGACACAATAAAAGTTTCACAGAAAATAATCAACTACTTAAAATAATTACATTACAGGTAAAGGGGCCCAACTAATGTTCCCACCAAGGACCATTAGGATATTGATATTAATATAGTACATGCTTTATCTCTACAAAATCTCTGACAGTATTACAACTGTACATACTAGATAAAAAATTCTCTCAATTTAGTGGCCTTGGAAATCCTATTCATCAAAGTCTGTATGTATGATTTAGTACAAAAAATATTTAATTGTCCTTTAGTATAAAACACAGCAGGGAAATTGGAAACAAAGTAGTTGATATCAACTTGAGTTCTACAGGACTATACAGTACCAGAACTAAGTTGAAATAAATTATATATTTAAAAATGTAGAACCTGATCCAATTAGTTTGTGTAAAATTGGTATTTTCAGCTGTTTTATGTGCTCTGGATTTCTTTTGCTGAGAGTCTGCTGTATATATTCGGCTAAGAACAGGACCACCAAGGACACCCGCTTAACAGACTCTCTTTATAGTAAATGCAGCTGTTAAAATAGACGACAGTTACATTAAAACACACACACACACACACACACACACACACTCCATCAACATGATCTGATCATCTCAGATCAATGAAGACTTCACCGTACAATCTTTGGGGAATATACTAGGCATGGATTGCCTCTCAGGTTTTAATTTAATGGTGGATAGGGCAATAAATGCTACATATTTTAGAAAGAGTTCTCTATTCTGAAGCAAAGTCTTTTAAGAAGAAAAAGCAAAATGGAGGCAACTGGAGTAGAAAAAAGATGAAATGTTGAGTGACTGCTAAGTTTTCAAGTTCAGCTGTATGGATCTTGTACCATCTCACCAAGAGACTAAAATTAGCAAATGATGGGCGGGAAACTAACCATTAGTTTTTACAGTACGTAACTTCTAATCATCTAACCCTAAAGTACACAATACAATAAAATTAATTAGTTACCCAAAATGGAATTTACAATACTTCCCAAGAGCATGTCAGTGGGAGATAGTGGAAGTTAACGAGGTAAGCTGCATTGTTTTTGTGACTTTTCGCATAGCTGATTCTCCGGCATGTGAACACGGAAATGAGATAGGACTGGAGGAATAAGGGAACGTGTGGTGTGCCTTTAATTAAAACACTTTACAAATGTAAATCAAAACGGTAACATTGGCACATTTTAAAAATTCTTGCTGACAATAAATTCAGAAGACTTAAAGGAATTGAGGTAAAGGGGCTATACTAAAACCTAAGTGCTTACACGGTAAATACATGGCATATAAAAATACAATCATTCCATGGCAAATAATTACCATATAATTTCATATGAAAATTGATCCTATACTAAATGAAAGTTTATATTTAGTTCTTTTTTTATTTTAAGATTCTACTTATTGAACTGAGAGAGGGAGAGTGAAAGAGAGAGAGTACAAGCAAGGGACGGGGCAGAGGGAGAAGTAGACTCCCACTGAGCAGGGAGCCTGATACGGGGATCGATCCCCAGACTCTGCATCACGATCTGAGCTGAAGGTAGATGCTTAACCGACAGAGCCACCCAGGTGCCACCCAGGTGCCCTATGTGTTCAGTTTTTATGTATGGGGTATATATCAATCTTCACATGGATAGTTGTCTAGATAACATACTGAAACATCAGAAGAATGAGTTGAATTTAAGAATCGTTCTCAAAAGTTTAAATTCAACTTTATTCAATTCAATACCTATATTCAATACCAAATTCAATACCTATATTTAGGTATATAGGAGGAGAAAGAATCAGCCAAATGTTATAAAGCCCAAATGCTGGTATCTTGAGAAGATTCCTTTGATCCTACTCCTTCCAATTCCACCATCTCTGCTGTTCCCTTCCCCAAAAAGTCCATCTCTATGCACTATCATTCTAAAATTCAACCATTTAAGTTTCTGTTCCTTGGAGTAAATCTTTCCTTTTCTAAAAGCCTCTTTTCAAAAGAGCCAACATTACTCAAAAAGGTAACATTTTGATTCCCAAAGTTCCTATAATTAAATTGATCTTTTCTAAATAGAGGCACCTGAGGGTGTCTGGGTGGTTCAGTGGATTAAGTGTCTGACTCTTTATTTCAGCTCAGGTCATGATCTCAGGGTTGTGAGATCGAGGCCTGACAGGGCTCTGAGCTAAGTGTGTAGAAAGAGATTTTTCTCTTACCTTCTTCCTCAACCTCTCCCCCCACTCTCCCCCTTAATTAATTAATTAATAGAGGCAGCTGAAACAGAATGAATTCAGTTTGATATTAGGTAGAAGGGGAGTAAATGGGGAAGATCCTGAAAATGGAAAACACTCAAGAAACTGAGCTCAGGGAAACAGAAAAAAGTGCTGATGGGAACAAGTGATAATTCTTACCAAAGTTAGACTCTTAGTCCCATCTGGCTCCAATGAAAAACGTATTAGTCAAGAATTTGTACAGACAAAGAACACCTCATGGCCCCACTTTAAGATCAGTGTTCTCGCATACAAATCCAGTACAGCACTTTTACTTAATGCCCTTCAATACTATCCAAATGCTCGTTTGAAACTGACAAGATTCGCTGGTTTTTCTCTCCTCTACCTTTTTCTATCAAAAAAAAAAAAAAAAATTAAAAAAAAAAACACATTTAAAGAAACATTTGCTAAAATTCTGAAATGCTCTGAGTAATCTCAGAGTAGAGGGTGCAAGCGTATTAGTTACTAGAAAGTAGTCAAAATGGGTCTTGAGAATTTATAAATAAAGATCGAACAAGATGACCTATATGCTTTCTCTCTTGAATACAAATTAGCAATTAGATAACAATAAGATTTCCTTTAGAAAGATGATTCTGACCTGGCTAATCAAATCTTATACAATACTGTAGGTTTACTGAGATCAAAGGGCAACTTTAGGTAAAGTCTATTTTTACTTGAAAAATCTTGTGACCCCATGTTGACTTGAGCAAGGATCCAAATGAATTGTATCCCATCTACAGAAGAAAATAATAGTTTTAGATCATATACTTTTGGGGGGTCAACTAAATGATTCTAAAACCCAGCCTTTAAAGAAGTATTATTACTGTGCTAATATTCACTTAGGCAATTTGACAGCTGGTCTTGGGCTCTGGGGCTCATTTAGCTGACTTGCTTAATAGAAAATAACACATGTATTACTTGTGCATGACACCACGCTATGGTGGGAATCAACGAGCAAGGTCAAGAAATATCTAGAGATGTAAGCAATGAGTTGATTAGAAGTAGTCGGTAAAGATCTGTACCTCTGGAAGGGCAAAAGACCATTGGGATTAATGGGAAGAGGATATACAGAGAAAAAAAAATGGGTTTGGGGGTCCAAAACATCACTTCTTGACCAAACTCTGCTGTGTATATTAGCTATGCTACTTTAGACAAATCAATTCTCCTCCCTGAGTCCCAGAATCCTAATTTGTAAAATGGGGTTTAAATATAATGATAGATTCTCATCAGCTTAACAAATTAAGGTATCTGTGTTTTTAATATTAGGGAAAAAACTCAATGAGGGAAATTGAAAAAATAAAGATTCTTCCTGACATATATGAATTACAGGAATAATTAGTTCAATACCAGTATTAAGTAACTTGCCGTGGGTATGACCTTTTATTTTCTATGGCTGGAGTAGTGGACAAATACGCATTCAAAAGGAGAGTTTGGCTAACAACTCTAAGAACTGTTGAGATTTTTTTAAATTCCTCTTGTCTAACATTTGAACAATCTTTTTAATCTTTTTCATTTTTCATTTGATGTTCGGGCATGATGGTTTTTAAGTCTAGTACATACTTAAATTGAAAGCATTTCTTATTCCATTACTTCAACTCATACAGAATATAACTAAAAATTCACCGTTTATAGAGGCTCAAACAAATATCCTGTGTTATTTCATAGAGCAGTGAAAACAAAACAAAACAAAACACACACAAAAACTCTGTTTTAGAAGAGATA